CCTCAGAAAAAAAAAAAAAAATATATATATATATATATATATTTCCCACTGGTATGAGAAGGGGACAGGAAACACAGACTTGGCTACTTCAGAGCATTCTTCTCAGAGGGCTCCCTGATTACATCTGGTCAGTCTGCAAAGTAGCTCTAGTGATTTCATGATTTAGCCAGGCTAAGAGCACACTTCTGAGCTATTCATACATCAGAGCAAGTTTAGGCTGGACTTAGGCTCAATGAGTTGATCTGGGGCATATTCAAATTCTGAGTGTCGGGGACTGATGCTGCAGCATTTAGAGAATTTCACTAAGACTGCCTGGTTCTGGACCTCTGAATCGCTCCCTACATCGCTGATTTTGAACGAAGATGAAAGTGAAAAGAAACTAGGAATTCGGTGATTATAACGCTTCTGAACGATTCCCTTTTAACCAATAAAAGAGAATCACCATTAAAGAAATGTGGTGTTTTTTGTCAATACACCATCTTATCAACTGAGAAGACTTGTAGCAATATCATATCTGTATGTTTAGAATCATTTACATCCAAAGCCAACAATACAGTGACCATACTGCACACGTTTCAGCATTATATTGTGAGCAATTTAATATACTTAACATAAGAGACCCACTAAAATGACAAACAGAGCCAAGGACAGACATAAAGATGTATGCATGTGAAATGTAAGCACCTACATAACCAGAGTTTGACCTATAGATGAAAGAACCTGCATTCAATTTATTATAACCGATAAAAATGATCAATACAGGCTGCTTTATATTCTAGTATAAGCATTACTGATACATGAACAACTAACAACTTTGATTCAGTTGTTGTAACTCTGATTTAAAAGACCTGTCAAATGATAGCAGGCTTTATTCTTTTATCCTGAGTTGTAGTGGTTGTGCCTCTCCAGTGCTTACCTTGAAGGGGTCAGACCTCTATCTGTTAGAAAATGTTCTGCTGCAGTGGATTTGACATTGTCTATTGTCTTTCTCATGGTTGCGTTGAATAACAGTCTTAAACAGAGCTTTAGAGGTGAATGAAAAATCATACGCTCTACCCTACCATAGAACTACTTGTAATCTTATTTATGCATCTCTTTTAGCAGTGTTAGGTAAGGTTGACTCCTTTCAGTTGATTTTGCTTCTCCTATCCCCTCTGTAGGCATTTAGTAAATCCCTCTGTTTTCTCGTAGCCTAAGGTTGGGGAGATTTGCCTTTCCCTCTGATGAAATCTTCTTAGCCTAGGTTTGATAAAGCAGCATGCCTCACCTAAATATAGCCACCTGCGACTGCACAGCCCCAGTGTCAGTGATGTGCTTGCAGTGTGCCTGCTGGCTGTGCTCAGCAAAGACAGCGCCGTTATGACAGCTCATTGAAGCGGGTGACAACAAAAATAGGATTAACCCTTTTAACCTGATTATTTTTTTTTTTTCTTAGACACTTAAATCTTGCTGTGTTTGCCAACTGGCTTGTTTATAACCCACTGGTTGCTCTTTTATGGGCAATACACATTTTCTTTTTGTTACAGATGCTGTTCTTCCGTTTGGTGTGACAGGCTTTTTCATAGATTGCCTCTTCCTGTGGCTAAGTGTAGCTTATGTAAAATGATGTGGTCTTTTTTCTCACAAGAGCATTTTGTGCTTAATTTTCCTTCAATCCTCCTCATTCAATCATTCAAAAATGGCAGTGGACTTAATGAGGCTGTTTACTGTCAGTTATCATTTAAGTTTAACTGTAATTTAGAGCTGGTTCAGTTAAATTGGTGATACAGGAGCTATTTGCAGCTTCTGTGCAGTCTTGTCATTTCTCCCAGCAAATCGTACAATTTGAAAATGTATGATTTTGACACTCTTGCATTGTGAATTGCCATATATATTTGTTTATAATAACATGAATGGTAAAGTAATAAATAAAGTAATAAATTAACCTCACTCTGGCTTTAAAAGTTATGGGAATGTTTTAAATGAGTAGCCTATTAAACATCACACATCCAAATACATTTATGCATTACAATATTAAAATTATCTGAGCAGGAGACACTTCACCTCAATCACAGATTTAGATTGTGTGCCCTTAAACCACAGTAAAACGATGTGTGCATCAGGGTTCACTTAGACATCAGATATAGTAACATCTAATGGCCGTTAAGTGGTTTCTACAATGAAGGCTAACAGGCTGCAGGCAGTTCCTGAGAACTTCTTGGGGTCAAGAGAGGTTGGAATGGATAGTATGGTGGATACAAGTTTGTGACTTTTGACACTGACTCATGTCAATTTGGCAATTTTTTTCCTGTTTCTTTTAACTATGAAAGTGTCATCTCTCTGACCCTACCCAAGTCATTTTAGCTGACCAATTTAACCAAACAGTAACCATAGATCATAGCGATGAGTCTGAAAACGCAATCATATGGGTCGTTTTTAGTGGCTTTGGAATGCTCTGAGGAATGACTTGTCTTGTTATTTATGTATGAAGACTGGCTGGCTCCAGTAAAATAATACATTAACGCATAAACAACCTTAAATTCACCTTAAATATGGTTTCTTAGTCATGTTGGTGTATCAACATCTCCACTTCGAGACCCTCAAGTTACCTTACTCATTCAACCCAGATCAGTTCCACACAGCCAGCTATGCAAACATAAATAAATAGAAAAAGAAAAAAGAACACTGGTATTAAATTAGTACTTAATAAAAGCTAAAGCCTAGACGGTTTTAAGAAGGAAAAAGTGGGAATGTAGGCAGTCAAAAAAGAAACAGGGTGTTTGTGCTGTTGATATTTAACATAACATGAGCCAGAATTCTCAGGCATATAGTGAGTCAGTACTTCTGAGCAGGACCCCTAATAACACAACCAAATCTTCAGAGAGAAAATGGGAGCACACACACACACACACACACACACACATACACAAATGAATTATTCAAAAGGGAAGCTTCTTTTTCATGCAGAAACAGATACATTTTAATCATTTAATCAGCCCAAATCACATTTACAGTGCACACAAAGTTGGCTGGTGCCCTTGTGGAAGTGTAGTCTGGGAGCACCCACTGTTCTTCTGCTGTTCCCATTCAGTCAGTATGGTGCAGAATAAAGTGAGGCACTGTTAAATGCCGTCTGCCACTTGGCCACTTGTACATGACATGACAGATGATCTGCTTGCATGCTATGCCATCACTCTCCCAGCATGGGAGCCAACAGATATTTCTACAATGGAAATGTAAACATGTGCACACATGCATGCATGCAAACATATACTTCCTGTATATGCAGGACTATATATACTCCATTGTTGTTTTCTCTGTGCCCCCTCAATTTAAATATAGGCTACTCTGAAAGGTAAGTGTGTGTCCATCTTGGGCTGTTTGTGGTGG